GGATGGTCACATGAATGGATGTACACATAGATGGAAGCACGAACGGTCACACGGATGGACGGACACACGGACGGACGCATGAATGGACGAACTGACGAACTCTTCGCCCCGCCAATCATTATTCACTCCGTGGATATGGTGTGATCTTTTTTAGTGCGAAGCATTTCTTAGTGAACTTCGGCGACTTTGAGTCTATCTATCTATCTATCTATCTATCTATCTATCTATCTATCTATCTATCTATCTATCTATCTATCTATCTATCTATCTATCTATCTATCTATCTATCTATCTATCTATCTATCTATCTATCTATCTATCTATCTATCTATCTGTTTTGTTTAGCTTCTTGCGTTTGGTTGCTCTCGAGGTCTCGAGTAAACCAAAATTAGCATGCGAAACCAAGATGGTTTGACGAATATGACGTGCTGGACAAGATATGAATAATGTCACAATCCCGTGGCGTACGTCGTCAAACACTTCCCGCCAGACAGTGGCACCTACGCACGGGCGGGTATGTGCCACAGGTGATTGACACTTAGTATCTATCCAGTAACGACGAGAATACACATGGGTGGTTTTAATGCGCGAACGTCAAGTAAAAAATACCCGACATCGGTAGCGTCGACCCGACGAATACAAAGAATAAATGCCAGGCTCTCAGCTGGGATTGAACCCAAGCATCCTGCGTGGCAACGAAGCATTTTACCTTAGAGCTACGTCAGGTTTTTTTTCTTTAATGCGTGGAATCATCACCAGTAATTGTAAGCTACGCACAGCATAGTTCATCAAAAGTTGGGTAAACACACACAGGCGCCCAGAAGGGGTAGCCACTCCGCAGAGAGTTCAGAAGTCTCGATAACACTGCACTTGAGCAGCTGCTTCTCGGAAAACCGATCTCGTCGACCGTGGTGGCTCGGCGTGTCTGTATGCGACTTTTCTATAGTGAATGCAGTCCCAACAACATGAACAAGTCATATGGAGTATTCTCAGTCGGGCTTTTTTTAAATGTAGAAATGCAAGGGTCTTTATAACTAGAGCAACCTCAAGTCAGCGCTCAATGTGGTCTCCATTATGACAAAACATGCAGGCGAATGAGTCCTGCAATCAGAACCTTATATCATTGATGTGATAGAAAAATGAAGCATTTGTACGAACAGTTTCGCTACATTGATACTAAAATGAACGGCTCTTATATTCGCGCCCTGAACAAGGGTAATTTTGGCACGTGCTCTATTTGGTCAATAAACTTTATTCAATGTGAAAAGGCAGACCTTAACGCCTTGGATACTAGCTTGAGTTTTACCACAGACCTGAATTGCATGTGAGGCTGAACGCTTATGACAATAAAGATTAACTCAATTTGCAACAGCACAGTTATCTGATGGTCAGCCATTTTTGGAGTTGTGCGCTTAGTCAAATCACTTGTGCTATCAACTCAGTCACAGCTTTGCCGCCAAGGCGAAGCAATGAACGTGATAGCAACAAGTTGGAAGGTCACGCGCACAATGGAAAGCAGATTGAAACGTGCCCAGCGTTCTCACGCACAAATGACGCACAAAAACTACTCACATGTACAAATGCACGCGAATAAGCGTCTCAGTTGTTATTTCACTGTCTCTGAAAAGTGTACGCTTTTCGCAAACGGAGGTTGCAATAATTGCAGTGACCTTCATGCACCCGGTAACTACAATAGAATCGTTCCAGATAAAGCCAGAGGCCAGGCAAGGCGTACGATCCTCTTCTCTTCACGACTGCGAGATAAAGTTGCACGAGGGAGCGTCACTCCCCTCTAAGCGGGGCAAAGTAGGCGTGAGAGTGGTGATGCACGCTCATTGCACAATTTTGTTGGTAGTTCTGAAAACACTATAATTCCCCCCGAGATGCCCGTCTACAGCGGTAAGTGGTAGATATAAATAGCTTGGCATTTGAACGGTAACGGACGTGCTACTCGGTGGCTCAGTGGTTAACGCCTCGCACTGAAGATTTAGAGAACCCAATTTTGACTCCGTGGGCTAGAGCCTTTTCCTTTTTTTTTTTAATGCATTTTCACATAGATAGATACCTATACATATGCGCTGAGTGATGGTGACGCCGGCGTTGACACCAACGTAAAAATCAAGCCGAGAATATCCATATAATTGCACTCGCAATAAAATAAAATACAGAAAAACAATGAACTCTTGTAGAACACGTGATTTACTAGAGCGCTGTAAGAGGTGGGTTTGTTGTAATTAAAAAATTGTACGCGAAAGGACAGGAAAGTAAAGTTCTAGCCTAATAATCTGAGGGTCATCATTAAGGAAACCTAACTTTTGCCATTGTAGTGAGGGGTTTGACTTTGTCGAAGTCTTTATGGGAAGAAGAAGTATGCAGTCAACTTGGACGCGTCAGTCAAGATGTAGGTGCAAATGTTCATTGAAAAGTTAGCAACCTTGTGTGAAAGAAAAATGATCTCCAGAACGTATGTTAAAGACTACTGAAAGCCATACGTACCCTTCTACAATTCATGAGGGAAACGTCTCTGTACGACCACCTGTGAAACCTGAATTGTGTGTGCAGTGTGTGTGTTTTGTGCAATGTGTATCTCCTCCTCTCTATCTCTCTCTTTGTCTTCCTCACTCCCCTCTTCCCATATAAGATAGCAAACTGGACTTAGTCTAGTTAACCTCCCTATCTTTCTTACAATTTTTCTTCTCTTCCTCTGTCTCTACTGAGAAAGTTAGTGTTATTAAGAAAGTTATCTTGACAGAAAAATAGGGTCCTGTTCGGCTACTTCAACAGATAATAACGTTTAGCCGATAATCAAACAAGGAAGCTGATTCATACATTTAAAAAGTGCTAGTAATTAAAGGAATATCAGCTTTTTTGAAAGAAATTGAAAAGAATGAGTTAACCTTTAGGTTGTGATGTTATTGATGCCATTATAAAATAAATATTATTATCAATTGGAAAAAAATTGAGTACCATGCGGTAAAGATATATTAACGTAACAGCGTGTGGCGACTCGACATGACTGTGACGCATTATTAAAAAGAGGGCTTTCCCCCCCTTTTCTTTATAGGAAGATGCATTTCAAAGAAAATGCGTAATATATATGATTGGAAAGGACCGCTTCTAGACCGGGAACACCAGAGTGATGTCACACACATCTGGGTTGCTGCTAACAAAGAAAAACACAACAGCACCACATGTAATGGCCGTATAATGGTGGGTGCTGCCAACGAAGCCTATTATGTTGGAGCCACGAAACTATTAGTTCTTATATTGTTATTACTGTCATAAAAATTTAAAAGTACCTTTTAAAAATTTATATTCGTAGGCTCCTTTCATAGAAGTCCACAGGGCTCAAGGCCGCTTCAAAAGAACTTTTTAAGTAACTGCTGGTGAGAAGCGAGATTCATTCTCCAATATACTGTGCTACAATGTGGACTTTTCATTTCGCTTGAACACAAAATATAGGTCGTCAGTGCGCTATCAAGGATATTGTGAAGCTAAGACCAGGCTCATTACCAATCTTATGTAAAAAAATATCAAATGACCCACTACACAAAGTGGTTGTACTTAAGTATTGTCTAATGCTCATCAGTATTTATGCCACACAAATCAATGTGCCGACATTAGTGCTCTTGAACACGCGTGCTGTTGAAAGCCCTTGTTGCGATAAAGGCCATGGCTGGGATCGGTATGTAACGCAAAGCTGGGCAACCATAGCTCTTCGCAGCAGCCCACGAGGTCATGCTGATAACCTGCAGCAGTTATTATTCGCCGAGCGTGCGACGATATCGTGAGTGGAAAAAAAAAAGAGGAAGGAACAGCATACGTTCGGTACGCGATCACGAGGCAAAAATAGTTCGAGTGTAGGAAAGTGCGAGAATGAGTTCGAATAAGAACCCAATGACGCCGGCACCATGGAAATAGAAGAGGGCATTTCGCGTCTTAGCCTGTCCAAAAAAAGCAGCACTTCTAATAAATTCATGGCGCGCACCAGCTTACAGAGGCAGCATCGGTGTTTCCGTCACACGGTTGGTTTCTTCTTTATAAAGAAAGCAAGGGGGCAAGGTTGTTCCTTTTTCTTCTCGAATCTCATCAGAAACTAAGGCGAATGTGCCTGATAACAGAGCTAGACGTGAACATCTGCGCCGCAACGAGACACTGAACTGAATGAAGCTGTGGTACTCATGCGGGCTAAGAAATAATGGAGGTATACACCTCCACCCAAGGATTCCCCGGTCACCCGACCGAGGGATGTGGGCCGTCGGAACCGGCGAGTCACTGATGTCGTGAGTCGCAGCATTCTCCTTCCTCATGGCGTATCCGCGACATCGCGATGAGAATACACATCGACCACACAATCGCGGACGTGGATTCAGGCTCTTCTGCGCGTTGGAACCCGCGTGCCTGAGAGCGGCCGGCGAGAGGGCGGTGCCGCCGCGGGCTTAGTTTTCATTATTCCGGAGCGCAGAGCGCGGCAGATGAGCACCCAAGATAACGCGCTTCTTCGCTGGGTCTAAACACCGCTAGAACGGACACGTGCCTTGAGAAAAAGCAAAAAAGCTAGTCTGTGAAGAGGAATAAGACCCATTGCGGCCTAATGTGCGAGAAAGAAAGCGAGTGCTGTTTGCGATCCAGGGCACGGCACTTGCAGGCTTTCGATGTTGAAACGCCGGCACCGTACAAAGGCCTATGGCTTTTATCCTTCCGCTTCCTTCGTAAAAGGACGGTGGGATCAGCTGATTCGAATATGAAGTTTTGATAAGAAGTGCTTGTGTGTCATGTTTGGTGTGTGCAAGCGCGCAGCGCCTCGTGAGGAAGCTTTGGAGGGTCACAGGGGGGGGGGGGGGCTGCTACACGCGTCGTCCAGGAAGACGGACCCACCGGAAACGAAGTGATAGCGGAGAGGTTTGGCCGACCTGTGCTGTGACGTAGTGAGAAAACATGGATGTGCAGGTATATAAGAGCTGCAGTGGCCATCTGGCAGACAAACACTTCCATAGCTTGCTTGTGGGATCACCAACCAACCAGACACCATGACCACTCTGGTAAGACATCACTTGTGGCTCTTGATGAGGATACGGTTTGAATTGTGCACTCACTTTGAACTCAATATTTGTGACTCTGCAGTGGTGAATTCACTTTGCTTCAATTGCGCAGCCCTAGGATGCTGAGAGTGGAAGTGCGCATGCCTCACGTACTTCCGCTCTCTTGCTACTAATGCGGGCTGAATGAAACTTTTGATCTATCGTTGACTGGTTTATGAAGGACATATGTGTAGGGACTCAATATAAATCTATTGAATATGGGGAATTTTAATAAGTTCAAACGAGGACAGTTGGTGTGCGTGGACACTGGAGCACCAGTGTTCAATTGCTAACACTAAATGATTCGGCAATGAAAGAGCTGCCTCTTTGGGCATCCTCATTGTGAAGGAATGACAAAACCTTGAGCTGCTTAGCTTACGTAATTGAAAATGTACCCATGTACCAAGTTACAAAACCACTAACGTTTTTTTCTAAAATGCGACGTACCAGAGATAAATATGAAATGGAGAGTTGAAGTTAATTGCTGAAAGTTTCTCGTATTTTATGTCACTAATGATGCTGCTTGCTTACATGCAATCTGTGTAACAGAAGTAGCCACATAAGGCCTATTAAAATTTCTCAAAAACGCTCTCCATTATGATGTGAATATCAAGTAGTATTCTCTGCAATAACAAAAAAGGAATCATGACGAGTTCGACTATTGCGACGGGTATATAACTATTTGTAGGGCCGTTAGCTTTGTCGTGTTCTCCGTTGTCAACGATGCGTTATGCATTCCAGCGCAACATTATTGCTAAAGTCACTTGCGGCTAGGTTCGTGTGATTCTACGACGCAACAGTAAGCAGAATGCGTAGAAAGAAAGGTAGTGAAACTTTGTGGCATCATGTGCCCTTCATTCTTTTTATAGCGCATCTGTATATGACCAGATTAAAGCAGAATTTGTGCGTCCTATGCGAACAAGCGCTCTAGGCGCGTATGTTCACCAAAAATTGGGCAAGCTCCAGTACTAATCGCTGCTTCATTAAAAATGACGAAGACTTCGCGGGCGGAACCGTACGTGTCACAGAAATTGGGCGAATTGCACTCATAATCACTGGTACCCTAAAAATGAAGAATGAAGCACGCTGGCGTCAAACATGCCTTCGTAATTCCGGCATGATGTAAGCAATAATCAAGAAAGGCTATGATGCACCATTGAGATTTAGATGCTCATCAACACTAGGACTACGCGTTCGAGCTTTCCCGGTTAGCAATATGTACGGAGCGCTTTGATTTTTCGGGCGCTACCTCGACCATATTTTTTTACAGGCTTGGTTATAAATAAAGTCTCACAATAATTCTGACCTATATATCCTGCATGTCTACAGTAGTGGTTATTATTTAAAGTACAATTGTACTTATAACAGTGCGACACAACGTATATCTCCCATACCTGTCCTATAAGTTATTATGCCCTAATAAAAACAAATATCCACCGTAACAACCACAGTTCCGTAATCATATACCATAGCGAAACTGCCTGGTTCCAAGTTGTAATGTCCACAAACGATCACATCACCTTTGATGCTCGAGCCAACTATGTGTGGAAAGAAGTATGCCATGAGAAAGAAAACATGAGTGAATATTGCTTATTAAGCAATACGCTCGTCTGCTGGCATTTTGTATATAGTAACATGAAGTTGAGTGACACTGCAGTGAATTCTTGTATTTGTCTGATCTAAGAAACCTGCGTAAAAGCATTTGCAGTCATAGAAACTCTTCTTATATCCCAAAAGAGTAGCGGTTGTTCCCTACTTAGCGCCAATAATGAAGGGTAAAGATGGCGATAGCCTCTCCTCTGATAATTTCAACCTCGATGGCTCAACTACAGCATACACCGACTCATCAGAAACGCCGCGCACATGCTCGCAGGCTTACGCCGTCGTACTCAGCGCACTGGTTGGCAGTGCTTTGTGCGGTGTCCTGGGTGGCGGATATGGAGGTGGTGCAGGCCTTGCAGGCCTTGGCGGTGGAGGTCTGGGAGGCGGTGCTGGAGTAGGAGTCGGCAGCAGCGTGGTGCTCCTCGGCGGTGGTGGCGCCGGTTACACCAAGTCCGTGGCCGGACCCTCGTTTCTTGTGAACACGGTGCACCACGTGTCTAAGGTTGATGGTGGAGGTGCTGTCGTTGCCCACTCTGGCCTCGGAGGCGCCGGCGGAGGCTTTGGTGGACTAGGTGCCGGAGGTTATGGTGGAGGCCTTTTGGTCGGTGGCGCTGACCTTGGAGGTGCCGGTCTCGGCCTTGGCGGAGGATATGGTGGCGGATACGGTGGCGGCAAGATTGTCCTTCTGAAAGGAGGATGGCACAAATGAGTGACTTCCACATAAGGTACGCTGACCATCCTCATTTTGTGCCGTGGAGTTGCCGGGATAATTAACGTACACTCAGCTCACATTGAATCGCCTACACTTCATTACTATTACCGATGTGCATGTTTTTGCATGAATGGCGCATGAAATAAAATCTGTGCTTAAGACACTGTAGATGCCGTTATTTTTTTTGTGTACAGATTAAGTGATGTTGCATGTAAAATGTTCGATAGCTTAACCGCGCTAGTAGTCACCGGAAGTGAAGTCTCAAGATGTTTTTATAAAAAAGACAATAATAAATGTGCATCAGGAGGATGAAGAGGTAATTTTTCCTCTCCCGGCACTGTGACACTAACTGTGCGAATGCTTTCTATTCCAGTTGAAGGAGAAACGGCCCGTGGACCGAGTTACGTGGAGCCGTTTTGGGGATGGGCTTCCATGGCTTCAACATATCATCAAAGCCGAAGAGAACGAAGAAACGTGACATGTATTTTCAGCAGGTGTAAATAAACATCACTGGTGGACAGCTGTCCACATCACCTGAATACACTGATGAGACCTTGTTCTGCAATTTCTCTTTCAACCAAAGATTTCACCGTTCTTTTACCTGTTACGTTGCTTAGAGTTTTATGCTACAAAGTGGCGATACTCTCTATCTGCTTAAACGGCTGCATTTCAATGGTGATATAAGGTAAAAATAACACTGCACCATATATTATATGTATATAAACGAACACAAGGGGATCATTACTGATGGGAGAGGGACTATTCCGCCGTATCGTTTTAAGTTGTACACTCATTCCTGGTAGATCACAAGATCAGTCGTTCAAACAGTTACGATGCTGTAAACTATGAGGATGACGTATTTATTTACTCACGGTATACTGAAGCTTCAAGGAACTCTGACAGTGGTACTTGTTCAGGTATTTCATATTGCGTGTAGATGAGATCGAACATTTAAAAGGGCGACCACTCGTGATACAAAACAGAAGCTGTGAAGCAGAAAAGGCTGGAACAGAAGAAGAAAGAATGAGTAAATAATTGTATTTACAGAATTGTGCCACATGGGAGGTTGGTCGTTTATTACGGAAAGCACATTATTAAATCACCTGAAAAAAGAAATGAAGGAGTCTGCGCTACTTTTTCAGTTCGTGGTATAGCCCAAACGCGGTAGTCTAGCGACTAAGGTACTCGACTGCTGGCTCGCAGGTCGCGGGATCGAATGCCGGCGGCAGCGGCGGTATTTTCGGTGGAGGCGAAAATGCTGTAGGCCTGTGTGCTCAAAATCGGGTGCACGTTCATGAATCCCGGGTGGTCGAAATTTGCGGAGCTGTCTACTACGGCATCTATCGTAATCTTATGGTGGTTTTGGGATGTTAAACCCCACACATTAATCAAAATCTGCTCCAGGTAGAAACATTCAATATTGTTGGCGAATGAAATACAGCGTCATTTCTTTTGCACAGTTGACAGCCGATAAGTAAAAGTGCCGACATGCTTGACTGAGCTTATACAGAATTATATGAGAGTACCTACATAACCTGGTGGCGTACAGCATCAGCGTCTGCATGACGTCAAAACTCGAATCACGTGCTGAGGTTTTGATTGCATTGTTTGTGCAATGTACGATAAGAGTGTCTGTTGTTGCTACTTGGGAAGTAAAAACAGCGCAAAAATATAGAAAAGGACATAGGAAGAGACGACACAGCGCTGAATTCACAACTAAACTTTATTGGAAGATACACGCACATATATCAGGCATTCTACCCGGTCACGTGGAAAACCAAAGGCGTCTGCGCATCAAGGCAAACAAGGTACGAAACAAGCCTAATCATATTGAACATCAACACGTGTGTAACAACCGAGAAAAAACGAAAACACACTTTCCTACTTGCCAAAAAACACACGCAACAGTCCCTAACAAACTAACAATCACTTTAACATGCCAGCACTGAACCAAGGTACCGTACCGAGGTGTTGATGTTCAATATGAATAGGCTTGTTTCGTAGCTTGTTTTCCTTTATGCGCAGACGCCTTTGGTTTTCCACGTGACCGGGTCGAATGCCTGATATATGTGCGTGTATCTTTCAATAATGTTTAGTTGCGAGTTCAGCGCGGTGTCATCTCTTCCTATGTCTTTGTCTATATTTTTGCGCTGTTTTTGCTTCCAAAGTATGAACCACCAACTAGCCCAACTTTCGCTATTATTGTCTGTTAGTATTTTTGCTTTATTGTCAAACTGTGCCGTATATGTCGTCACGTGCTTGTGACGGTGAAGGAAGCGAAGCGTGGCGGGTAAAGATGAAACGCTTCATTGTCCCGAACTTGTGCATGCTCAGTAAAAGAAGTAGCACTCAAAGTGCTGCGAAACATCCCGCACGAATGGCGGCCGTCGGTAACCTCATCGGCCGTAAGGTGCATTGACATTTGTACATATAAAAACGAAGATTACAGCGTTACCATTGGTGACAGTGTTAGTTCCCGGGTAAACTCTACTATTCGCGTTGTGCGCGCGGTCAGAGGAGCCCTAAATCAAAAGAGCCTAAAATAACCACGAAGATCTGCATCCCAGCACAGAATGCGCAAGGCAGTGCTTATGCGTATAACAGACCGGTTACACAAGAATAAATAAACTGCGCATGTGATTGTTTAACTGTGTTGTTCTGTGAAAGGTGACGGAGGTGCCATACAAGGCCTTTTCAAGAAATGCGTTCAAAAAGACTCAATAGCTGGGGACTGCAGTTTTTTTACCTTCTCGCAACCTTCGACATTACTGCCATATAGAGGCAGACGTATTACGACAACTAGACACCTAAATTACACCAGTAATAAAAAAATATGATAACTAAGTGGCAAACTAGAGAAAAGAGGTGGTCGGGCCCAATGAGAACATTTGACACGCTTCCTCTGAAGAGTCCATTATTGCTTTGATATTTAAAAAAAACGTCATTTGTAGGTTTTTGTAGCGCGACGTAATACAATGAATTTCACCAGTGAAAGCGGTGCTGAAGCGGCGAAAAGTGCTATGGCGTCATATTCATTCCAGACGACCGAAATGAGTGCGCGTCATTAGAAACTGCTGGTCTACTTCGCGTTGTGAATGTGCTGGCTGCGCTTGCAATGTTAACACACATTGCCCTCATACTTTAACAAATCCAGAAGATTAGCACCGCTTCAATAGTTGTCAGAAGATGTGTTATCAATAGACTCCGGATCTTTAGGCATCAACAAATATGATTTAGGCTCAGAAAAGTGGCAAACATCACAATGTTTATCATAAATATAAGCAAAACCAATCCTTACATAAATTCAAATATTTTCAAGCAAGGCGGGCTCGACCTCTGTGCACGACCGCAAAGAAATGTTATTGTTTGTGGTGGCAAAATAAAATGACACCAACAGTAGATATAGCCGTTGAACTGTCTCACGAAACTACTGGACTAATGACGACCACTTGACTTTCAGCTAGCACTCTGCTCTCACTGACACTCATTGGTCACCTTGGTTTAGCCGAGCATCACAGGTAGTGAAACAGACATGAAAGAGAATACTTGAAAGCTGGGAATACTGATTAAAAATGCTATTTTACGTTCATTTGACAGAAATAAATTATTATACAAGAAAAACAAACAAATACAGGCGAGATGACGATTTATTAAAAAGTTAACGAGTACTTAAATGACAAATTCAACGTGAGTCTCTGGCAATTATTTCGTATACAATGACATTAACCAAATTGTACAGGCAAGGCATGCGAACACTGCGAGAAATACACTTTCGGTCATTTTAAGTGCCATAGGTCGGTAAAAATGCGAGCTAACCAAAACTCACCCATAAAATATATTTTGCCCTTGGGAGGGATTTTGACGCAGATTCATCAAAAATTTCCTCAACTGGACTCCCCCGAATTCAAATTCACTCAAAATCTTCACAGCTGGACTCACTCGGACTCAGATCAAATGGAATTCACTCACACACAACCTCACGACTCAATTTAAATCTGAGTGAGTTCGAGTGAGCCGAATCATGAGTACATTAGTGGACACTTATCTTTTATGAACATAGTTTCAATGCTCTTTAACACTAATATCTCGCTTAATCGGTGCTCTTTTGGGCCTCGTTTCTAGAATAAGCTCACTTTCAAAGCTGTGTACCTCCGCCGGCGGAGGAGGGTTGGGCCCAATGGTGGTCGCGAAAACTAGCGGCGCTGCAGTCAGATCTTCCGCTACTCTCGGCACAGCGTCAGCTACGACAGCGTACCGTTGTGGTCCACCACACTGTTGCTTGCGGCGACTTTCTTGCTGTGCTGTTATCAAAGTTATTCATTTGTCATGCTTCCAGTCGACATTCTCACGTCGCATTTGTGAATTGCTCAAGTGGATACGCAGAATGTCGCCTGTAACGATTGCCCTTATTTGTTGTTCATTGAAAATTGGCTAAAAATCGATGTTGCATTTGTATTTGAGCAGTGTGCATTGTGTTTAACGTCAAAGTATGGGAAGTTCTACTTGACTGAGCCTTTTCAGCGTATTTTTTAGGACGATTGCTACGATTTTAACCACAGCTGCCTTGCCTAGACAAAAAACGATTCCAAATGCCTGTAAAGCCTTAAACAAATTGGCTTAGTGGATCACAGAAATGTTGCACAAAAAGTGTACTCATGTTTTCTAGTAATCACAAAAACGACGTTCTCAAAAAAAAAAAAACAGTACTCATGCTTTAGACTGTTCACCAGACACGTCTTAGCGACAGCTACCCATCAAGAGCAGAGTGCAAAATTTCACGGAAGCTTCACCTTCTTTCTAGCAATTTGCACCTTTTCAGAAAGCTCCCGGTTGGTTTTCTTGCAAGAAAAAAGACATTCTCATCACAATCTAAAACTTCACTACTGCAGCCATCCAGTTATCATCACAAGCGGTACAACTCTAAAGATGCAGCGGCAACAACTCCAACCTTTCAAGCACAATCTAAAAGAGGTCCCCTATTATGAGATTTTCTTGAAATGCCTCTATACAACTTTCTCAACTGATTTTAATGTAGAAAACAGGCCGCGTAAGGGACGATATAAGCAGCCTTCTCGGAACTTAGTGAGTGCACTTTTATGTAGTTTTGCGACGGCTGCCCCATGGGGTATTTGGCAGGAATGCTAGGCACTCTTTGCACGTGGTCACTTATTCAACTTTTCTGTGAATCCACATATGTGGTACACTTACGGTATGTTACTTCCTGGTGCACTACACAGCATCGGGAAGAAGTGACACTGGATGTGCGACACCCCGTTACCTGCTCTAAGGTTCAGAAATGAGTACACTGCTATTGAGAAAATATCTATTGCTGTGATATGAAGGAAATGTAACAAAACCTGGTCACTGGTAAAATATCACTGATTATATACGACTGTGTTAGTATAGAAGGAAAATGTTGCTACATGCATGTACATTAACATATTAAACATGCTTAATAATATATATTAAAGTAAAAGTATCCGCTGCTTTGAAGGCAGCATGACATGTGACAATTGTTCAAATGTCAATTTGGTGCAACTTTCTGAGTATCTTTCGTCGTGTTGTTCGTCTTGCCTTTAGTCTTGCTGTTCTATTTCTGGTGGCTCCTCCGAACTAGGCACTGGGCATTTGAGGGGCGCCATGCGTTTTGGGGAGATTGGTGACTTGGTTAGGAACACTCTGGCTTCGATATGAGAGTTGGAATTGCTGGAAGCAAGCGCAAAAGGGTTCCTGGCAAGAGCTCCCACTTTCCGCGTAAAACAAAAACGTCTTGTCCAGCAAATCATGATAGTAGTGCATTACGATGTCGTCATTTTCATACTGAACGTCATACACAATGTGTGTTTGTCAGTGAGCTTTCTATCTTTGCGACACAAAGCTTGCTCTCACCTTTTCAATTGTGTTGGAACTCGTCGAAGGCCTTTCACAGTGAAAATATTTGATTTATACCCAATTAAAGTAACAAATCAAGAACTAATTTTTGCATACAAATTATTCACTTCAACCTGGCGTATTGAAAACCTCGACTATTGCAACATGGTCTCACCTTCTCCCGCTCATCTGGTCACTCTCCTGGGTTATTTTTGTTCGAAGTTACAACTGTCTTTCAGTGTGTTCCTTGATCATGCTCTCAAGTTACGTTTAAGAATGAACGACTGTCTTTTCACGTAAAGTAATAGTTATAATATTTATACACTGTATATTAGTTGAACGCGATAGGATTAAAGTGCCTGTTTCACAGAAATTCCGGAGTAAGAGTGGTGCGTTGGCGTCTTCTGTTGTGAGCGAGGAAAGAGCACCATGTCCACGAGAAAAAAATTAAAAATGAAGAAAGAAAGGTGTAATTAGTATAAAATGGAAAAAAAACTTCTGCGCGAGTGAGAACTGGAACCCAAGATGTCTGCGTGCCAATCAGATTTACTACCACAAAAGCACGCCATTGGTCGGAATTGATAAAAAAGAACAGTGTGATTATCATATAGTGTAAGTTCTGAATAAAGTTATGTCGAACGAAAAAATGAAACGAAACCTTATGTTTACACCTCCTTTCTTGACGCTGTAAAAAGAATATTTTTAATGCACGCAGTATTACGTGGTAGAACTGTGGAATAGCGCAAGGCGTCAAAACATGTGAAATGCGCAAAGAGATGGGTGTTTCAAAGACCAACTCATTACAGAGCGCTCACACCTATGTTCGCGTGTTGCTTTACGCACGTATAGTCGGCCCTTCGCATATTCGGAAAAGGAGCAATAACGGCGTAGTCAGTAATTAACTATTCTACTTGCAGTAGACAATCTACGATAGTTTGGTACGGCCACTGTTGCACGCACAGTCATTCGCTCCCTCATGGCACGGTTGCGGCATACACCTAGATCGAAGGTAGGCTGATAATTGAGAAGATGATCCGCACAGGACCCAGTTACGCTATCTCGTTTTACTCTTGCCCATCACCGAAGGGCGCAAGAAACTGGGGGAAAAATTGGCCCAGTATCTGCATGTTACACTACAAATGTCGCACTGTGTTACACTGCAATGCTTTTCGTGCAAGCGTTGCATTGTCAGCACAGCGTGATAAACGCTATACGGTCCTTAGAATTACTTATGTATGCCTTTTCTAGTAAAAAGAGACAATACAGAATATTGACCAGTTGTTATGGTGCCTCAGATATGCGCAATGATTGCTTTTTAATTGACAATCGCACAAGTATATATGAACGCTGAATCTTGAGCAATATTGGTGGGCGCTGCGCATGGGGTCGGCCGTTCGGGGTATCGTTTGGTGCCGTTTACAATACCAATAAGAACGGACAAACAGACAAATGTACAGACAGACAGATCAAAAGTTTTGCGTTGAAGGTCCCCAAGAAAGACTATCGCAGTGCTGCCAGCTCTGGGGAAATCTCCCTAGATCTAAGGGATTTTGGTTGTACTTAGGGGCAAAGGGAAATTTGTCAACATCTAGGGAAATTTTTCGCTTCCACGTGAAGCAAGCAGATCAACGGAGGGACCTCCCGCGCGCAACCTATTTTTTGTTCTTTCTTCCATCTTTCCTCTTTTACACCCCCTATAAATCACTCAAAAGCGATGTGCCATGCAGGCCATGCCCAGTAGAAGTTCCAAGGGGTGAAGGGGGGCGATAGGGCCGGTTTTTTTCTCTAACGCTGTGTCAGCACTCTCCTCTCCCCACTTCATTGCGGTTCATTCTGTGCCATCCGTGTTCGACGTCGATTGCCTAAATTCTGGTTCGAACCAAAAAAAAAAAGTGCTCTACACTATCCTATTTTCTCGCCTTTCACCCGTAGCATTATTTCATTTTGTTGTGTTTTTTTATTAGTTTCTCTTCTTTGCGAACGCTGTAACGTTGCTGGTGAGCGGCCCCGTGGAGCCATGTGGCTCCGCCAAGGTAACTAAGGTTTCTTTGAAAAGCGTGGCCAGAGCAGTAGGCTGTATGTGTGCGGTTATCTGCACAGCTAAAAAGAAACATTGAAAAAAGAAAAGTGGCTGGTGGAAGAATGCAAAGATATATTTGAAACGAGTGTATGGCAGTCAACAATTCTAATAAACATATACTTTCGTAACCATTCAGTAGGTGGCAAGTGATGAAGTGCCGCACGGCATATATGCTTTTATGGTTAAACTATTTTTCGTCACAATATCTTGTATCAGATATCGTCACAAAGCTTGAGAGTACGTTTTTCAAGACATTATTTATCGTTTAAGTAAGCGTGCATCACTTCATGTTTTATATGAACACCACCAAGCATTTTCTGCAAGAGAGTTGTAACAGAATTGAAAAATACCAGAATCGGTTATTTTTTAAATCTTGCTTGCCGCAATATTTCACGTACTGCACTTTGTATGCTCGCTATTATTATTATTATTATTATTATTATTATTATTATTATTATTATTATTATTATTATTATTATTATTATTATTATTATTATTATTTATTTATTTATCTATTTGCACGCTATTACAAGTGCACTGTATTACAGTGTAAGATTTCTGTGCTTTGCGGTGAACAGCTAGCAGTGTTCCTAAAAGTTAACTTGATAGTTTATCCCTTATTCGGCCTTTAAATATGCAACGGTTTTTGCTTTGGTGACTTGTATAAAATACTGCGACACTACATGTCTTCCCCTTCCCCCCTAAATGTGGTAATTGCTTGTTTTGCGATATCATAGGATAAAATGTTTTTCAGAGTTTTCATTTTGTACTGCGGCATTTTTTCACCTTCAGCATGTTCGTTTTAGTGCATATTCTCAAACGAATGCACTATTATATTATAAAAGTGAACTTCGAAATCGTTTTCCACAGCACAAACACATTTGTCTTCGAAAAACCACTCTCCATGAAAATCTAGGGAAATATAGAGAATTTGTTTACTGCAGAGAGAGAAAAAGTGGCTCTGCATAAATAAATAAATAATAAATAAATAAATAAATAAATAAATAAATAAATAAATAAATAAATAAATATGGACACAAGTTGTGCAATGCTGAGTCGTCATTGTGGTTAGAGTCTGGCGCACAGCAAGTCAGCGTACTTCATCGTAGATAAATGTGCTCCTCCTCGCTACGCTTCACACACGATAAACTCGTTTTCGCACAAGAAATGACGCAGTGCCTAAAACAGCCCGAGAAGGTACGTGTGTGAACACAGCACACCATTTGTGGTAACCACTTGCACGTCGCCGCCGCGGATCACAACACGCGCGCTCCGGGCCACGGGAGCAAAATCTCACTGCAGCGCCACTAGTTCTCGCGACCGTGACGCGGCCCGCCTCTCCAGCGGAGCTTTGAAGCTGAGTTTATTCTAGTAACGATGCAACTGGGCTCCTTGAAGTTGATCTCGTACTTTTAAATATGAGATACCAGTGGGCGGAATTCAGTATGGGACATTTTTTTTCGAAAGAGGTAGCACAGAAGAGCTATCTTCATCGAGAATTCGAGGTAAGAGCTTCAAGGTGAGAAGGGGGAGGGGGGGGGGAGTCACAGCACCATCTTCTTCGTAACTTCCTCTTCCGATTAATAAAAATTGAATTGGCTTATGAACTCTGGTGCTTTGAAGTGTGTGTGGGACGACGTGAGTAGAAACATGAGCCAACGCGTAAGAGATAGTAATGCTGAAGCTGAGTTATTAAAATCATAGATCAGCGAAAAAAAAGCAGAGCTCACTCAGACCCACTCAAGAAATACATCTTGCGTTTAAGGCTCACTCGGACTGAAACTCATGAAAATATTACTACCTTAGACTTACTCAAAAGCCGACTAAAGGCTCAATTCGAGCCTGAGGGAGTCGACTCATGAATGAGTTTGCCGACCTATGTAATGTGCACACGTTGTGAGGAATCTCTTTGGATATAACACCGTGCGAAGTCTGACAATCACGACAAAAGTTGCTGAAACAAGAGCAAACTACGACCGTCTCCAGATTTAAAATTGTACCTTGTGTCACCGAGAATGACCTCGAACGCTGTGGAATGCTCGACGGCTACAGCTAGATGTTATTGAATTGCAGCCGTACGCGAGAACAATCGACGGCTTAAGCCACGTTCAGACTGCATTTACATCTGTCATAAGTGTCGTATCACGTAACAGTGCTCGTCGGCGTAGTTAGCGACCTGGTACGTCGGTACGACACGCTTTTTTTTACAATGCGCAAATCAACACTCTGAAAGTACGTTGCGTTCTCGCTCTGCAATTGTTACAGCCTAGCAAGGTTTTCGTGTTTGGGTGGGCCGATCGGGCTAAAGGGCGAAAAGATATAGACGTGTCGAACATGATAATCAACTCACATCACATCTGCCCTCTAGTCCGATACACCAACAGCACAGAAACGCTACTACGTGGCTTTCAAGACGCGCATGAAGGTACAGAATCTGTACTGCACGTGGTGTGACTTGAGGTGAACCTACAAGTGCAGTATCCTTTTAACAAAAGGTATAAAGCTTAAAAAATATTGATGACCATTTTTGACGAGCAAAAATAAATCAGCAGTTGTTCACATGAAACACGTGCTTTTCTATTTTTTATCACACTGTGTTTTCATGCGTAAAGCTTAACCTATAAAATACCAGGGCTAATAAATCACATCAGTTTACTCCTTCCGTCTAATAATCCCTGACTAAAACTCTCGCTAGAAATTGGAACAGTCCTGTAGTATAAAAAATCCAGTCGATGGATTTTATAGCAAACTGCGTTGTTGATTACTTGTTACAATTATGGTGCATAGCATCACCACTTACTTATCATGGTTCGCTATTGTGTAGTATCTGCCCCGCCTCTGTTATATTCAAATTAGGTTTTGTATGGTCTCACTTTATTTTTAAATAGATGTATTATTGCAGAGTATTTTTTTATTTTGTACCTTTTCTGAAGTAGTGGGGGATAGCTCTTTGCACGGAAAAACCCTAGTTAATTCGTTGAAAATAAGTGGTTAAGTTTACTGTAAGTACACCATTCGTACCGTTCAAGTGTTCGCGACGCATGAAAAGTTCGATCTCGTCATTACACACTTAATAACTTCCGTGTCTCATAAACTGGAAGAATGCCCTGCGATATTATACGAAGCAGCAGTTTTAATACAAGCTGTATAAACTGAGAGCACTCCAGTTTCATTCATGACGTTGAAGGCTAGACTGGCGCTTGCCAGTTACATAATTCTTCCCCATCTTCACACCGTTACGTGATTGAAGATCGTGGAGTTGGGCGCAGGTCTGTTATTGTTGAACTGATGACCGATCTGGCCATTGACTCAGAAACGTTGTCAAAAATGGAATGAGCTACCAGCTTATCAGATGATGTTGGCTCGTAAAGCTTGCAATCACCACTACGCAGCGTAAACGTAGCTTCACTATGCAACAAAGCTTCTTGCTTATGATACATATAATATGGAAATTCTACTTTATAAGTCCAATTAGGATGGTGTACTGGCAAAAGAGGGATTAGATGTTGCTGTTCTGAACCTTGTGTTAGCCACGGCAGACGGGTTCTCTACTCGTGGTGTGCATGCAGGAGACGAGTGCACAGTTGTTTTCTCTGAAGCATGAAACATAGCAAGCGATACTAGCATAACAGGGTTACAAAGCACGCTCCATATTTAAAGATTGCCTATTTAATGCTCGATGGAGTGCCGGGTGGCTTCTAAATATCGGGATATGCACCCAGACAGGCACTGTGTGGTTTTCCACGAGACGCATTCGCAAAAGTTTGTGCCACGCTAGAACGAATTAGGAGTTATTATTTGGTGAAGTTAGCTTGACTACTTGAACACAAAGCTAAACTTTTATAACGTGCTGTTTGTTGGTGGGGCTACGAACCAGAGAAACATTGCGGGAATCGTTGCAGCACTGTAGGTGCAGATGTGGTGTCAGCCTGGTGGGGTGAATACGTTCGTGGCGAAATGAAGATGCGTTAGACTCACTAGGCTGTACGCGAGAAATATTTCCAAGCAAAACTAGTATCGAGTAATATGTGTGACTGGTGATAGCCAGTCATATTCTAAAAATAATCCTCCTCGCCCACAGCTGACGCGCACAAAAAAAAAAATCTTCACTGGCCTCAGTTTGCCCGACCTTTGAAGGGCTCATGTTTTTTTTTCATGTATTCATGTATATGAGGGGTTGTTGCATAATTCATAATTCATGTATATGAGGGGTTGTTGCATTAACGGCAGCTCCGAATACTACTTCTCACATCGCAAACGAAACATTGGGTAGAAAAAAAAAACACCTGCAAAAGTAGCACACGTACATCGAAAACGTCCAGGGTGAGGCACTCAGACTTCGTCTTGGATTACTACGCTGCACATTTACAGTGGAGACCATCTCAATCGCCAGAGATCATCATCCACAGCGGAGACTATCGAAATCGCCAATTATCATTCGGCCTCAGTGCACATTACTCTAGAGGTGCTTCGAGCGAATATTAGGCACAATGCTCACGCCCCGGCCAACCACCTCGCTTCGCTTCCAGAAGACCGACCGAGTGCCTCTTTTCTTTAAGAGAGTATTGAGTTACCTTGAGTGCCTTCCAGCAAGCCAAACACCTCCAGAATGCATCCTGACCCCCCCCCCCCCCCTTGGTGTTCGGACCGTCCAAACCAACGCTTGACAGTGCCGGGAATTCGCAAAAAGGCGGATCTCTCGACATCAGCTTTGAAGACGCTGACTATATACTAATGCTGCACAAAGGATACAAACACCACATTAAACTTTATACGGTTGGTTCGACAAATGTTAGGGAATCTGAAGCAGCTGTGATCTTCCCAGAAAAATCCGAAACCACCCAATTTCGAACGTCTCACAAAACAACCTTGACAGCCGCAGAGCTCGTTCCGTTGGGCACTCCACAGGATTGATCAAGAAGCAGCTCTAAAATGGTGCATTTTCACCGATTGCAAACCAGCTCTGTATTGTATTTGAGCTGCGCTACGTCGTGGACTTCAAGACCAATTGGTGCTGGAAACAAGACAATTGTATGAACTAGTACTACAGAAAGGACATGATGTAACTTTTCAATGGTTACCAGGCCACTGCGGAATCGTCGATAACAAGCATGCTGACTATGCAGCAAAGAACTCTCAGAAAAATGGCATGATGGATCCCACTCCACTAGTAAGAAGCGACGCCGCAGCAAGGATTAATCAACTCGCGCACGATGTAACCAGGTCTCTGTAGAATACGCCCGGATTTCTACACACCCGTCTTCACTGTATAGACCCATACTTACGACTTTCCATTCCATCTGGGTTATCCAGATCTCAGACAATCGTTCTCTGCCGTATGTGGCCTGGGGTGTCTGCTTGTCGCATCGGATGCGCAGACAGTGCTGCGTGTGATTATTGCGGTGCTGACGAAACCATCGAACATACTTTGTGCCAGTGTCCTTAGTACAACTGGCAGAGACAGTCCATGTCGCTAGTGTTTGCACGCCTCGACGACTCGCCGCTTTCCAAAAAATTAATTTTGGAATGCCGGAAAGATGGAGCTTCACGCCGAAAAGCGACGAAGGCCCTCCTGAAATTTCTGCGATTAACCCGCCTCGTCGAACGTTTGTAACATTTTAGTGTGTTTGTGTGTTTTAGCTTCCGTCCCGCTGTCTTTCTCTCATTCCCTTTTCCTTACATTTCTGTGTCTTATTTCCCCTTCCTCAGTGCAGAGTAGCAAACAAGACACCTGCTTTCTGGTGAACCCCCTTCCTTTTTTCATACCATCTCTCTCTCTCTCTTTGAAAAACATATAGAAATAGCCGAAAATATAAAACTACAAATTGGGTAAACCAAAAGCGCAAGAATTACAAATTTTCGAGTATGATATCAGGTTCAAGTAAGGTTTGCAGGATAAATTGACATTGCATATATTTGAATTTTCAATACAAAGCAGAAATAAGGCTTGCGAGGCTATGTCGGTTTTTGTTCATGTCGTATTAGGCTTCTCCTTGCTCGCCGCTGAAAGAAGGAATAACTAATCAGCAAAGTCCTGCTTATGTACTCTTTCCAATCTTCTTGCGCCACACAAAACACGATAACCAGAAAACTATTGAAGAAATGCGATAAATGCATGAAATTTGAGAGCGCTATCATTTACATCCACGCTGACACTATATCTGAAACTAGAGCCAGCATGACATGGGTTTGAAAGCTAGCACTGGTGGCGTAGCCAGCAGTGGGGGGGGGGGGGGACACCAGGCCCTGGCTCTGCCCCCTGAAGTAATATTTTTGCCAGAGCATGCATAGCCCAAAATGATACTCAACCACATCTATCTATTTATCTACCCAGCCCACACTTCAGGTCACAGAAGCTCCCCCCCCCCAAAAAAAAAAACAAACAAACTCAGCCTGCCCTCCTGGCCGGCATCCTACTGCAATGACCATACCACTTGCTCTCTTTCCGGTGGTGCACCCATACATGCATTCACCATGTGTGGAGTGGTCGCTTAATACCACTTTGATCGCAGTAGGGAGCACTGTGAACGAGAGCTTTCGAAATAGCTTTCGCCTTCTCACGAATGCCCTTATGAAATCGAGAATGACGTTTCAAAATATGAGATAACTGGAAAAAACCGAATGGCCAGAAGTTTTAGCGGGGAGTGTTCATTAAATTTATCCAGACTTATTTGGAATCACGGAGTGCTCAATACAACTAACTTCAATTAGAACCATCCATTTTGCGCCAGCCTTACTTTTTACAAGACTTTTTCGAAAAATCAGAAATTACAAATTAGAGCTCGACAGGAAGTGATTAAAGAGATTCAATAGTCTCATTCCGTGCTGTTGTCACCAGTGTAATTTTTTCAAAAACACAGGCCGACAATTGTTTCTGCGCTCAGCCTAGCAGCATCTGCAGGTAAACGCTGCTTCTCCAGTGCCACTTTCCGACTACAGCCGCACGTAGCCAAAGTGCGTTTAAAAAAAGAAAGGAAGTTGGTTCATTGTCTTGGACCTTGAGGCCTCTTTCTCGATCGGTGCTGTGTGATCTGCTCAAACTTTGTACGTCGCGAAATACGACTACCGGCAAGAGTCGTCTTCCCTGTTTCTTCTGACTTTCCTTAGATAAGCTTTCGATGCCTGCGAGCACGAAACAAGATAATTCACGTCTCCATGCGGAACGCGCTACGCGTGCTACCCAGGTTTGTATATAAAAGGAAGTACGAAAATTCGAGGCCCGATCACTTCTTCGACAGCCTGCCCAGAATGCGTAGCTTGGTAAGACTTCCAGTGGTTGGCTCAACTGAAAAACTTGCCTTTCGGCTAAGCTAGAGAAGCCTAACGAATAGACAAATAATTGATTGTAGGGTAAAATAATAAGTGCGAGTCACTACTATTGCCATATTACCTTGAAACTGCACAGCACTGAGAGTGCTCTTTTCCTCTTCCTTTTTCATTTTCGGGCCGCAAATCACCAGTCTCCGAATCGCCAGACAAGACAGATGCGAAAGAGTTCACCGGCTTCCGTCATTTTTATTCATTGAAATGCTATTCCTTTGCAAAAATTGTAACCAACAGCACGCCTAATCAAAATATACAATGGTATATTTTGGTTGGCTACTTAATCCTCAACGGCAATGCCTTTCAGCATCTCGTGTTAGCTTTCACTTGAATCAAACGTTCATTATTTATTCTCCCATGATGCCTCAAATATCACTGTGATAGAGCGGCTAGAGACTGGTGAACTGATACTGCATAAGAGCATGGTACAAATGACAGAAAGTTACAAGTGTCGCATGCACGCGTAGATGTTATGCAAAAACTCTTAGGTGTGCTTATTAAAAAAGAAAATGATTCCTTGTATGAAAGCCTATATTCATGCCCATGGTGTTATAATGCACACTTACAATAAACATCCTAAAAGTGTTGAAATATTTTAAAAATGGATATACCAAAGCTTTTCAGAGAATAAAATTACCTGTATATTCATACTGTTTATATTGCAATGCTCTCTCCAGGGAACCATCGCCGTTCTTACGGGCCTCGTGGCGACGGCCTACGCTGGTGTCGATGGAGTCCTTGGTGGTGGCCTAGCAGGCGTTGGCGTTGGAAGCAGTGTCGTTCTAATAAACTCCGGAAGGGGAGTCGGAGTCGCCAAATCTCTTCCGGGTCCAGCGTATCTCATCAAGAGCATAGACCATTTGCACAGAGTAGATGATGGACATGACGTCGTCGTGCCTGGTAGTGTCGGATGTTTCGTCAGCGGTTTTGGAGGTGGCTACGAAGGAGGTTATGGAGGTGGCTACGGAGGAGGCTATGGTGCAGGCTACGGAGGTGGCTACGTTGGAGGCTTCGCAGGAGGCTTAGGAGGAGGATACGGAGGTGGTTACGGAGGTAGCCGTGGAGGAGGCTTTGGAGCAGGATACGGAGGTGGCTACGTAGGTGGCCACGGAGGAGGCTTTGGAGGAGGATATGGAGGTGGCTACGGAGGTGGTCACGGAGGAGGCTTTGGAGGAGGATATGGAGGTGGCTACGGACGTGGATCTGGCCGTCTTTCAGGCTACGGAGGCGGCTACGGTGGCACCTTCAGAGGATGCTTCACAGGCAATTATGGAGGAGGCTTCGGTGGCGGCTATGGTGGTCTTGGTGGTTACAGCTATAAATGGTAGCTTTAAAGGTGGGTGACCAATTTCTGTTATAAATGGCAGCAAAGGTGTGAGGTCACAGAGACTGCCACATTAAGCCCGAGTCATTCTCTCTTTTTTTTCCAGCTTTACTTCATACCTCGTGCAATAGATCATTGAATTCACTAGTTTGACGCTCACTGAATCAGATAACCGAACATTTTTCTTCATAATCAACTCAATAGTAATGCAGTAATAGTATGCATAAACTTTTTTGGCGTCGCGTCTGGCCAGTTTTTATCACTTTATTCTTTGCCCTTCTAGCACTAATTAGTCATGTATGCAACTACTCTCACACTTTCAGTATCAGTGAGCATTGAAATGTAGCCGCACACACACACACACACACATACATACGTTTATATATATATATATATATATATATATATATATATATATATATATATATATATATATATATATATATATATATATATATATATATATATATATATATATATATATATATATGAAGAAGCTCTTTCCAGGCTTTCCAAAAAAGGCATTTCTAAAGACACAGAATTGCAAAGTGCCCAAGTTTTGTTTTTTAGCAAAAGGTTGCACAGCTAAAGTTGGATGTGTTGAAGTTTATAAGGACACTTTGATTACGTCAAAAGATCGCCAATAAAAGACATTCTTTTCATATCTTTGATATAAAATCATTTTATCTGTACAGAGTAGAATATTGCCCCACCGCGGTGTTCTAGTGGCTAAGGTACCCGGCTGCTGACACGCATGTCGCGGAATCAAATCCTGGCTGCGGCGGCTGCATTTCCGAAGGAGGCGGTAATGTTGTAGGCCCGTGTACTCAGACTTGGGTGCAGGTTAAAGTACCCCAGGTGGTCAAAATTTCCGGAGCCCTCCACTACGGCGTCTCTCATGATCATATGGTGGTTTTGGGACGTTAAAACCTACATATTAATCAATCAATCAATCAATCAATCAATCAATCAATCAATTAGACAAAAATATTGTGGAAGTTTTAGTTGCGTGTCATTGAGGAACCGCTCACCATCTCCCTGCACTCATAACTGATGTGCCACGTCGTCAGAGGCTCCGCAAATGTTTGCGAATTCAATAAAGTCTCAAGCTTTGTTGCACAATATTTCGAAATACAGACACTAAAGATAAACTTTAATTACATTGCGAGGGAACACGCAGCACTAGTAAGAAAACATTCAGAACACCTAGAGTGGAGACTGCCAACTGTTTGGTTTTGGAGAACAAGAAACAGATATTTCAAGCACAAACCTCGACACGTCCGCAATATTTCAATCGTACATGTGCCAGCCTAAGATAGCGGCCAAATGCACATTGAAAACCGTGGCAAAAATTTAACTGAACTTTGCGCATGTGAAGAAGCACGAAGTAACGAAAGTGTGTTTAGAATGTTTTTTTTGTGCTTAACTTGAGCTTATCGCACATTTTCAAGCAAGTTTATCAGCAAGAACGAACCAGCCTGCCAGAACATATTACTGCCCACTGACGAAATTATAAATCTCTCTCAGACGACTATTTAAACTTAAGCGGGAACGCTTGCTATTTAAAGAAAATATTATGTTTGTATACTTGACTTCGCAACGGAAGAAATTCTTAGAGAACGCCAGGCTTTCGCGGTAGGCGCAGCACAGTCACAGCGAAAGCTAGAAAAGCGGCCTTTCAGAGTCTTTTTAAAACACTCATTAAGTAACTACTGCAAGCACACTTTCTTGGTACCCTCTAGGGCATTAATAATAAACTTTTAGTAGTATTTTGGGCCGAAAAATAGCATACGTATTCGCTATGCCATTTTTCGTCCTCCTTCTGAGAAATGTAGTATCCACAAAACACTTGCAAGGAGTTTCGTGCCAAATGTGCATGGAGTAGCTGACGACGATGAGGAATGATGGCTGAAGTGTGTATGCGCCCCAGTAAATAGAAAAACAAGAAAAAACTTTTGTGATGGTTTGGAGTATTGCACGGCCCACTCGTTACGCTATTCGCATTGTGCCACAAGTGGTCGTTCTTTCGCTGTTGTAAAACGCTTTATAAGTTGTATCATCACGATTGTTTTCCCGACATTAAGCCTGCCTAAGGCAAGTCTGACAACAAGTCACAAGCACCAGTGTAGCTCAGTGTTAGAATACTGGGCGGACAACCAGTGCACCTGGGTTCGAGCCACACTGTGCCATTGGTGCTAGGCCATGCTTTCCTAAGGCAAGTTTGAGAACAAGTTATAAGCACCGGCGTAACTCAGTGGTAAAATATTGGCCTGGAACGTAGCGGACCCGGGTTCAAGTCCCATTGGGTCGTTAATGCAAGGTTTTTCTTCTAATTTCGCGTGATGTGGTTACGAACACCGGTGGCGACGGCGGCAGTGGGGGGTGACGGCAGACAACAGCTGCGCGTGACCCGAAAAGTGATCTCATAACAGCTTTCGCTGTAAAAGATGTGTTCTGAGTAACTCAGCTTAGTGCGCTACAAAATAGGTGGCATGAGAGCTGTGATTTCATATAGCCGCATCACACTATATATAACACCATTGCTACTTACACCAATTTGGTATATGAAAAAAAGTTTTTAGGGTACAAGGCCGTGGACGAAATTGTAACAAATAACTGAGGAATGTCATTTCTTTGTGTCACTTGCATTCTATGAACACTTTGTTCACAAGAACTTAATGGGAGAAACAACACCATGAAGTGCTACGGACGTCGCTAATGATGAGATGACATGCAACAAGTGATAGCATGAATGGGTGTTAATAATGGTGTGTAGTAACTCTAAATCTAACAATTTTTTCTTAAGTGTATCAGTGCAATTTCGCAACCTGAAAACTGAATTTGTTACATTCCGATACTTAAATTACCATAACGAAATGAATCAATTTCGTCGAATTACACGAATGTTTTCATACGCAGTGTTATGAATAATAGCAATAGACGATTCTGTAGTGTAAATTAAAAGTACACATTTTGACCAAAATCATTTTCTTCGTACCTGTCGCGCGAAATAAACGAGACACTGACAACAAATGATTTGTGCCGCAAGTTACCAAATTATGTACAAGATCGTGCCAACCTATATATAAAAGTAAGCATAGTTTTATTTTATTCATGGACCCGCACTCATTCAGCGTTGCAATATGAACTGTTTACGATGTCATATTTCGTTTCCTCTTTCCAGGTTTCGATAAAAGGAGGCGATTCATGTAATGTGCCAGCATCTGTGCACGTGTCATCGATTCTGATCAAGTCATTCATCACGTAATAGTTCATAGAGCCCTCTATGTGTATACAAATGTAAATAAACATCACATCATCACTCTGCGAAACACGTGTAGACGAATGAATTACGATAAAATCAAACTTTGCAGCTTTTCTTTTACACCCACGTCGAAAATAAATTTACAGGGTGTTCAAGATAATGTTAGACAAATATAAAAAAGAAACAACAAACTACTGGCATAGCATATATATGCGAGACCTATAGGTTGATTGATGACCTGTGCTATACCGCCGTTAACAAAATATTTGTTCTAATTGTAGATATAATGAGTAAGAATTCATAAAACAATTTAGAGCTAAAGTATTGCGTTAGCAGATACATTCGATTTATTGAAGAAGCTCCTCTTCATGAAAACCCGCACAGCAAATCTGATGATATGGTCATATGTGAACATCGAATGGCATACCGTGTAATCATAATTTAGCAGGTACACGAAGTCTGGATCCGATCTGCTACCTATAATTTCTTCGATTTGATTTATCTCTGGGATTGCAGCTGCCTGACAGATATTTTATGGCGAAGCGTTATTTGGGAACGCGATGTCCTTTAAGGTATCGCAAAGTCTTGCCAGAATTTTCTTCCCGAAAAGAATACTAATAAATTTGACAGTTTACACGTAAAACTCTAAAATAATATTATGTGAGGTTTAACTTCCCAACATCAAAATATAAATATGGCAGACACCATAGTCAAGGCTCCCAGAAAGTCGACCATGTGGTGTTCTTTAACGTGCACGGCCACCACACAGTACACGGACCATTCCGCCTCCATCGAAATGCGACCGCAGCGATTGGGATCGCAACCGCGACCTTCCGGAAAAAAGCCGAGCACTCCAGTCACTGATCTACCGCGGCGGACTACACGTACAACTAACAAACGACGTTCCTGGCCCAAAGAGAGAAAAAAAAAAACGAGGGTAGGGGCCTGGTCGTGGTCGATCGGGCATTCTTGCTTTGATTGTGCGTCCTTTATTAGTGGCCACAATGTAATGTTGTGGCCCAGTTGTAAATAAAACAGAGCGAAATTCAAGTAAATTTTTTCTCTCTTCAAAATGTTGTCTTTTTTAGCAATAAATGTGTCACGTAGTTAATGGGAGCGACGCTAATTAATGTTACTAGTGGAAGAAAAAGCACACGCACGAGCTGTGCACACACGTGAAGGTTTGTACTATGTAAATACTGTGAAATGTTGCGGTGACTTGTCAACGTGAAATACCACAGGGCAGAGACAGTTTCAGAAGTTTTTTTTTTGGAGGAGGGGGGGAGGCGTTCAACCATACTCTATGTACGTTCATGCATGCAGGTGTATGTACGCCAGCGAAATTTAAAATTTTCGCTTGCATATGTACTACGCACACACTTCCCCCTGCCGTTACTCCCCTCTTTGGTTTCCCCAACTGCTCGAAGGACAATTGGCTACAAAATGGGCCGGAACATGCCATATTGAGGCATATTAGACACCACGACGGTATATTACGACGAGATTTGGCTTAAGAGCGGAATGTTCGTGAGAGCAACTGTCGTAATGCAGAGCTAGTTAAAGATGGCAGCTCTCAGTTTTGCTCTGACAACAATGCTCCTTCAGTGATTAGGCTTTTTGCAAACCAGGGACCGGATTCACAAAACTCACTTACGAAAACATTTTTGCGCAAGAGAAATTTTGTTGCGTAAGTCGATTCCCGAAATGAAGAAACGTCTTAAGAGGCCATCGTTGTCACA